CCCAGAATGGGCTTTCGTCTGTGCCCCTCGGGTTGTCTGGAAGGCTGCAGCACCGCTCCCCCGTGCCCCCCGAAGCCCACCCCTCTGCTACCTGAGAGTCTGCTCTGCAGGGGTGAGGAAGAGGAGGAAAGCGCAGGAGCACGTCCCTGTCCCCTGCACAGCCAGCCTGCCCCCTTCCGGAAGCACAGTGTGGCCTCCACCTCCCCCGCCTCTGCCTCCAAGACAAACAAGCAAGCAAGGGGGGCCACGCTGGACCCTAGCGCACTCCCACACTGCCCGCCCTCCCCCTTGGCATGCAGGGGGCACCTGAAGTCCCCAGGGAAGGACAAGGACAGCCAGGGTCACCGGGCCACATCAGGGGAGACAGATTGCCTAGTGGGCTGCAGAGGTCAGACCGCTGAGCTAGCCCACCGAGAGAGGGCTCAGGGTGGCGAGCTAGCCCACCGAGAGAGGGCTCAAGGTGGCGAGCTAGCCCACCGAATGAGGGCTCAGGGTGCTGAGCTAGCCCACCGAGAGAGGGCTCAGGGTGGCGAGCTAGTCCACCGAATGAGGGCTCAGGGTGGTGAGCTAGCCCACCAAGAGAGGGCTCAGGGTGGTGAGCTAGCCCACCGAGAGAGGGCTCAGGGTGGCGAGCTAGCCCACCGAGAGAGGGCTCAGGGTGGTGAGCTAGCCCCCCGAATGAGGGCTCAGGGTAGTGAGCTAGCCCATTGAGAGAGGGCTCAGGGTGGTGAGCTAGCCCACTGAGAGAGGACTCAGGGTGGTAAGCTGGCCCCCCGAATGAGGGCTCAGGGTGGCGAGCTAGACCACCGAGAGAGGGCTCAGGGTGGTGAGCTAGCCCACCCAGAGAGGGCTCAGGGTGGTGAGCTAGCCCCCCGAATGAGGGCTCAGGGTGGTGAGCTAGCCCCCCGAATGAGGGTTCAGGGTGGTGAGCTAGCCCACTGAGAGAGGGCTCAGGGTGGTGAGCTAGCCCACCGAGAGAGGGCTCAGGGTGGTGAGCTAGCCCACCGAGAGAGGGCTCAGGGTGGTGAGCTAGCCCACTGAGAGAGGACTCAGAGCCCACTGAGAGAGGGCTCAGGGTGGTGAGCCAGCCCACCGAGAGAGGGCTCAGGGTGGTGAGCTAGCCCACCAAATGAGGGCTCAGGGTGGTGAGCTAGCCCCCCGAATGAGGGCTCAGGGTGGCGAGCTAGACCACTGAGAGAGGGCTCAGGGTGGTGAGCTAGCCCACCAAATGAGGGCTCAGGGTGGTGAGCTAGCCCACCGAGAGAGGGCTCAGGGTGGTGAGCTAGCCCACCGAGAGAGGGCTCAGGGTGGTGAGCTAGCCCACCGAGAGAGGGCTCAGGGTGGTGAGCTAGCCCACCGAGAGAGGGCTCAGGGTGGTGAGCTGGCCCACAGAGTGAGGGCTCAGGGTGGTGAGCCAGCCCACCGAGAGAGGGCTCAAGGTGGTGAGCTAGCCCACCAAATGAGGGCTCAGGGTGGTGAGCTAGCCCACAGAGTGAAGGCTCAGGGTGCTAGCCCACCAAGTGACAGCTCAGGGTGTTGAGCTAGTCTACTGAGAGAGGAGGGCTCAGGGTGCTGAGCTAGTCCACTGAGAGAGGGCTCAGGGTGGTGAGCTAGCCCACTGAGTGAGGAGAGTTCAGGGTGGTGAGCTAGCCCACTGAGAGAGGAGAGTTCAGGGTGGTGAGCTAGCCCACTGAGTGAGGAGGGCTCAGGGTGCTGAGCTAGCCCACTGAGTGAGGAGAGTTCAGGGTGGTGAGCTAGCCCACTGAGTGAGGAGGGCTCAGGGTGCTGAGCTAGCCCACTGAGAGAGGAGGATTCAGGGTGCTGAGCTAGCCCACTGAGAGAGGGGGAGTCAGGGTGCTCCTCTCTCAGGGTGCTGAGCTAGCCCACTCCAGGAGAGCCCTAAGAGTTCCCATGATACCCAATTACCCCAAACACAAACATTTCTCCAGATAACCAACGCGCACAGCCCCCAAGGAACTAATCACTCCGGTGACTTACTTCATCCCTGGCCAAAGGCACACCTGCTCTTTGGGGGCTTCTCTGTTCCCCATCAGAAGCCCCCTGCTTAGTCTCAACTGGAGCCAGGCCTGGGGTGAGGGGCGGGCAGACCTACTCATCACCTGCCACAAAGTCCAGCCTTCCTCCTAGCAGCCCAGCCTGCGTGAGCCCCGGGGCGCCTGGGAACCCCACTGCACAGGACACCACAGCACCACGGGCCAACTCAAGGACACGAGGCTCCTGAACCCAGCAAACCTGCTGCTCTGGCCGGGCGCCTCCACAGCTGTGTCCCCCCCCCTCCAAGCCACCACCAACGCCTGCCCACAGGCAGCTTCCAGAGCCAGCCAGGGGACAGCAGCCATGCGCCTCTCTCACTGCAGGGCCCTGCACGTGCGTGATCTCCTCTGTCCCCTGCCAAAGCCATTGGGGGGGAGGGGTCGGTGCTTTCTCCTCTCCACTTGTCAGCCTACAAAGAGGCCCAGGAAAGTGCCGCTGCTTGCCCAAGCTCACACAGCCTCAAAGGAACAGAGTCAGGATGGGAACCCGAGTCTCTACCGCTCGAGTCTGGATACATGAGCCCCAGGAGCAGAGCTGCAGAGGCTTGGCAGTAAGCCGGCAGAACGCAGGTCTGGTCCCAGCTCCCGCTTCCTGTCCAGTGCTTCTGCTCAGTGAGCCGTATCACACAGCCTGAAGGGTAAACGTGCCTCCGGAGGCAGCTGCGCCCCTGCAGGAGAGCAGGGGCCTGGAATTAGGAAGGGCGGACCACCCCCCTCACCCAGCCTCCTCCTCTAGCTTTGCCTCAACACAAGATTGACTGACATAGATGTGTTGGATACAACCCACAGAAGAAATAGCTTGGGGCTGGAGCGGGCAGCACCTGCTGTCACGTGCTCAGCCCTGGGTTCGGTGTTCAGCACCGGGCGTGCACGCACACGCGTGCTCGCGCACACACACACACACACACACACACACACACACACGTGCACACTGGCAGCTATCTGAAATCCAAACTGAACTAGAAAGCCCGTTTGCAGTCATTAACGTTGGCAGCCATGTATTGAAACTGCAGGAGACAAGAAGATCCTGCTGGCCTCCTAGGGCCCCCAGAAGCCACTTCCAGTCACAGGCTGCCCTGGGGGAGGGGGCGGGTTCCTGCTCCTCCCACTGCAGGTCGCTGCCCTAGAGGGGACAGGAGAACTTTCTGGAGAAGAGGCTCTCTCAGAGCCAGCTGGACAGCTGTGCCTGGCTTCCGCTCACCAAACTGGGCACGCATGGGCTGAGACTCAGGAGGGCAGGGCTGCCCAGATCCTGCCTGGGAAGGACCCGCCCCAGAGGCTTCTGGAGGGGTTCCCACGCGTGGCCCCCTGCAGCAGAGATGGGCGGTAGCCGGTGCGTGGGAGCTCAAAGGCCCAGTGGTCACCCAGGCCAGCACTCCCAGCGGCCAGGTGGGGAAACAGGCTGAGCCCACCTTCCTGCAGCCCCTTTCAAGGCCGAGCTGGAGAAGGGGGGAAATCTGAGCCAACGGGAGAAGCTGATGTTACAGCGGACGCTTCCAGCTGCCGTATTACCACTGTCATTGCCGCCATCATAGCGACTGTCACCATCATCACCACCGCCACCAACATCATCACCACCATCACCCCCACCCCCATTATCATCAAAATTACCACCATACCAACATTATCACCACCTTTATTACCACCATCATCACCATCATCATCATCACTACACCACCACCATCCTTATCACCGACACCATCATCACCACCAACACCATCACCACCACCACCATCACCCCCCTTCATTATCATCAAAATTACCACACCAACATTATCACCACCTTCATTACCACCAACATCACCATCACCATCACCACCACCACCATCACCACCACCACCATCACCACCACCTTCATTATCATCAAAATTACCACCACACCAACATTATCACCACCTTCATTACCAACATCATCATCACCATCACCACCACCACCATCACCACCACCTTCATTATCATCAAAATTACCACCACACCAACATTATCACCACCTTCATTACCACCAACATCATCATCACCACCACCACCATCACCACCACCTTCATTACCACCATCATCACCACCACCACCATCACCACCACCACCATCACCACCACCACCATCACCACCACCTTCATTATCATCAAAATTACCACCACACCAACATTATCACCACCTTCATTACCACCAACATCATCATCACCATCACCACCATCACCACCATCACCACTACACCCTCACCACCACCACCATCCTCATCACTGCCACCATCATCACCACCAACACCATTACTGCTGCCATCGCCATCATCACCATCATCATCATGATCATAATTATCACAAAAACCACACCACCACACCATCACCACCACCATCAAAATCATCATCATCATCATCATCATCATCATCATCATCATCATCATCGCATGCCAAGCCCAGGTCCCAGGCTGTGCTCCAGGCTGGCTCCTTAGATGAAGTCATTGAGTCACTCTGGTCCCCTAGCCACTCCCTCTGAATCCCAGTCACCCTAGTTGCTCCTGGCTGGCCTCCAGGAATCAGGCTGCAACAAACACTCCTGGCCTCAGAGATGTGAGGAGTTGGTAAGAAGCTGAGGGATGGGAGGGGACTCCCAGGCCTCTTGCCTTTCCCCAAACACCAACACTCTATAGCAGCTACCCCTTCCGTGGTAGGGCCGGGAGCCTGGCCCCAGAGCCAGGCCTGAGGCACAAAGTTTGCATCCCGATTCTTCTGTGGGGTGGAGGTAGGGGGCTGGAGACTACATCCTGGCACCGGTGCCCAGGTCTGAGTACACCTGAGCCTCTCTCCTTCCTGGACTCCACAGCTACCTCCACCTTCTCAGCTGCAGTCAGTGTGATGACCCCGATCCCCCCACGCCCAAGCCAATGCCCTGGGGCCTCTGCTGGACCCGATGAGGTGCTGGGCCAGGCGGGGGCCTCCGGGCTCTCACCTGTGGATGTCCACCGGCGTCTCAACGCCCACCACACACACAGCGTACGTGGGTTTGTTCAGGGACAGCTTCACAGCTCCCCGAGGGGCCATCCTGGGCCCGGCTCCCACGGCCTCCTGTCAGGTGCCCGGTGGCCGTGCGCCCCGGCTCCCAGCTCCTTCTCTTGGGCACCTGGATGCCAGCTAGGAGTGCGAGCTTTGACGGGCTGCTGCTCTCCTCCTCCCTTTTAATTTCACCCTGCAACCTGGTTAGCCTGCCCGAGCCTGGTCCCCACCTCCTGGCTCCACGCCCAGTCCTCCCTACTCCCTGCTGTCAACCCAGGAGGCCAGGGAGGAGGCGCTCTAGGCCTCTTGCAAGATAGAAAAGGAGGTGTTGGGGGTGGGGGGTAGGTGGGGGCTGGGTAGCGCCGGGCTCAGCTTCCAACAGGAGACTGACTGAGCCCCACCTGTACTTACCCCTGCCCTCCAGCTCAGCTCCATCCCAAGCCCACACTGTGACCACATCAGCACTTCTGAGGACTGACTATGAGCCAGGCACCAGCTAAGCAGTTTGCACATCTTATCTCTTGTGCCCAGACATCAGGGGGATCCAGAACTCAGACTGCCAGGGGTTCAAATCCCACTCTGCCTAAAATCAGGGCGAAATGTCAACCATTTGAGCCCTCCATGACTCAGTGTCCCCCAGGCCTGTGAAGGCTGCTCAAATGACCAGACTCTGCCACCAGGTACGTGGGGAGAGGCTGGCACAGCCCAGGAGAAATGCCAGATGCCATCTGGGTCTCCTCACCTGACAGCAACAATCACCATGGCTCAGGTCACGCTGCTACCAAGTGATAGAGCAACGCTTTATCCAGCTCTACCTGACTCATCTCACTAGATGACCCCCACAGGTGACAGTCCCCGGTGTCCAGACTCCAGAGGTGGCAGAAGAAAGCTCCAGGAAGCACCTTGGGCCAACCAGAGAGAAGGGAACTTTACATTGGGCAGCACTGGTTCCATTTTTGAAAATCCCTCTCCTGGCTGGGCATGGTGGGGCATACCTGTAATCCCAGCTCTGGGGAGGCTGAAGTAAGAGGCTGGAAAGTTCAGGGCCAATTTGGGTTACCCGGGAAGGAAAGGGGAATGAAGGAAGGAAATAAAAAAGGGAGGGAGAGAGGAAGGGAGGGAAGGAAGAAAATCTCCTTCCCAAGCTTTCCTTGCATTATCTTTCATTCTTACAGCCACGCTGTGAAGTTTTCTGCATTGTTCTTGTGTAACCATTGAGGGCAGAGCCTTTCTCAAGCGGTCTGATGTCTCACCCAGCGCAGCCCCCTGGTGAGAAAAGCTTGGGAACAGGATTGCACAGCTGGAGATCCAACTCTGGGCTCAGGAGCACGGACATTTTCCTTATGCAAAGAACTCCATTGTTTGTTCATTGAAAGCAGCATATAAGAAAGTATAAAGAGGAAGGGGAACCAAAGAGGAGGCAACAATGCTTGATAAGAAATGTACTCGTGGGGCTGGGAAGGTGGCTCAGGGGTAGAGTGCTTGCCTTGCATGCATGAGGCCCTGGGTTCGATTCCTCAGCACCACAAAAAAGCCAGAAGTGGCACTGTGGCTCAAGTGGTAGAGCGCTAGCCTTGAGCTGAAGAGCTGAGGGACAGGCCCAGGCCCAGAGTTCAGGCCCCACGACCGGACCACCCCCCCCCCAAAAAAAAAAAGAAATGTACTCGTTATCTTGCCCATGTAATTGTAACTCCTCTGTACAGTATTCTCACACACAAAAAAAAGAAAGTATAAAGAATGCTGGGCACCAGTGGCTCACACCTGTAATCCTGGCTACTCAGGAGGCTGAGATCCAAGGACAGTGGTTCAAAGCCAGCCCAGGCAGGAAAGTCCGTGAGAATCTTAACTCCAACTACCACCAGAAAATTGGAAGTGGCTCTGTGGTTCAAGTGACAGAGCGCTTGCCTTGAGCTGAAGAGCTAAGGGACAGCGCTCAGGCCCAGAGTTCAACTACTATGACCAAGTAATAATAATAATAATATATGAAGAACAAAATTAAAAGTTGCATATAGTTGACCACCATATTTGTGATATATAGTCTTCTAATGATATTTGTGTGTGTAAGAGAAAGCAAGAGAAGAGAGAGATTATCCACTGTGGAAATGATTTTGTTGTGTTGTGCTAGTTCTGGGGCTTGAACTCAGGACCTTGCACTCTTGCTTGGCACCCTGTCACCTGAGCCACAATTCCACTTCTGGCTTTGATAAGTGTTTGTGGAGCACTTCAAACATTTGAGGATGCATGTCTGGCCTGCATGCATGGTGGATGGATGGATGGATGGAGGCTACATGGATGGATAGGTAGGTAGGTAGGTAGGTAAGTAGGTAGGTAGGTAGATAGATAGATGATTGATAGACAGACAGACAGACAGATAGATAGATGGTGGGTAGATGATGGTTGGAGGAAGGGATGGGTGAATGGATAGGTGGTGGACAGATGTTAATGGGTGGATGGATGGTAGTAGATGGATGGATTGATGGGTGGTGAATGGTTGGACGGAGGACGGATGGATAGATAGGTAGAAGAGTGGTGGGTGTGTTATGTTAAAACAGTCCTAAAGAAACAAGGTCAGATGCTTGGAGAAAAATACAAAGCACCCAAGCAGGTGCTAGTGGCTCATGCCTGTCATCCTAGCCACTCAGGAAGCTAGGATCTGAGGATCGTGCTTCAAAGCCATCCAGGGAAGGAAAGTCCATGAGACTTTTTTTTGGGGGGGGGGTTCCGGTCGTGGGGCCTGAACTCTGGGCCTGGGTGCTGTCCCTCAGCTCTTCAGCTCAAGGCTAGCGCTCTACCACTTGAGCCACAGCGCCACTTCCGGCTTTTTTCTTTTTGCTTATGTGGTGCTGAGGAATCGAACCCAGGGCCTCATGCATGCAAGGCAAGCGCTCTACCACTGAGCCACCTTCCCAGCCCTCCCATGAAACTCTTATCTCACCAAAAAGCCAGATGTGAAGCTGCTAGAGCGCTAGCCTTGCGCCAAAGAGCTCAGGGACAACGCCAGGCCCCAAGCCCCAGGACCAGCGCACGCAGGCACACACACGTAAATAAGGCTAGAACGTAGCTCAGTGACAAAGCATTTGCCTAGCAAGTGATATGTCCTGGGTTTGATCCCCATTACCAAAAAAGGAAAGAAAAGTTTAAAAAAAAACAAACAATCTTACCCCACCCCAAACCAAATACAGGCACCCTCAATTTTTCTTTGAGGGAAACATTTGATGTGTCTCCACCTCGCTCCGCACCCTCTGCAGCCCTCATCCCCTCCCTCCCCTCTTTCCTCCAGCCTGGGAACCTTTCCTTGGACGCACCATGACCTGCCCAGCCTTGGCCCTGCCTGACGTGCTCACGTACACCCAGGCTGTGGTCTGTTTGAACTTGGGATTAGATCCGGGAGGAGCGGGGTGGAGAGCCATGTCTGACGTGCAGGTCCTCTCCACGCTGGAAGGTGGGACATTCGGCTAGGAAGCTGGCCCTGCCAGGGACCATGAGCCTGAGGTACCGAGAGGACTCGGGGACTCAGGGTGTCACGGAGAGACGTCTGCGCTGAGCTCTGCCATCCAGGTCTCATCTTCCACCTTCTTCAACAGTTTTTTCTTTTTTTGGTCAGCCATGGGGCTTGAACTCAGGACTCGGGCTCTATCCCTGAGCTCTTTTGCTCAAGGCTAGTGCTCTACCACTTTGAGCACAGCTCTGCATCTGGTTTTCGAGTGGTTAGTTGGAGATAAGAGTCTCACAGGGACTTTCTTGCCCGGGCTGGCTTCAAACTGCGATCTTCAGATCTCAGCCTCCTGGGTAGCTAGGATTGTAGGAGCGAGGCACCGGCGCCCAGCTTTGTTCAACATGCTTACTGAACACCTGCCATTTTGCTCTGGGTCCTGGGGATAAATAATTCAACAGGGAGCAAAGCCCAGCCGGCAGGGCAGGGAAGAGGCTGGCAGGGAGGGAGCTGGTGGCCGCCAGCGGAGGATAGAGAGGAAAGGGGCCATAGGCGTGGCCATCCCATGCTGTGGCGTCAAGGGAGTGGCAGCGGGCACCAATCTGAGAGAGCCTTGCCCTCTCGGGCCCTCCCAGCCTCACCGTGGGGGCCTGGCCTCCTATGGGGCCCCCAGCCCCACCCCCCAGTCATCTGAGTTCCCAGACTAGATGTCTCCAAGCATCAGGCACCACTACACCATCCCAATTGTTAGGGTGCTGCTAGGTGACAAACCAGAGGAGTGGCAGCTGCAGCAGGGATTCAGCTTGCCTTGGTAAACTGAGGCAATTCCCTGAAGAACAAAACCCTGTGGGGACTATGGCCAGATCTTTGAGGCCATCCATTTGAGACCTTGGCAGGGACTGCTGAGGACTGAGGCTGCGGGGGGCGGGGGGTGTGGGTGGAGTGAACCATGGGGTACCCAGGCTGCGTGGATTCAGCACCATGGGACTTATGCAAATGCCCTGGGGCCTTGTGACAATCAGGAGTCTGTGGATGCTCCAGTGGCCACTGACTGTGGGCTGTGGGCTCTCCAACTCTGGAACTCTTCATTCATTCATTCATTCACTCATTCATTCGTTGAGCCATTCACCCAACACCCATGGAAACTTGTTGTCTACAAGATACATTCTTGGCACACTCGCCGAGCATTCTCTGCTCCTCCTATTAACTCACCGGGCTGGAGTCTCCCCGGCCAGCCTGCGGCCCTCCTGTGCCCCTGGTCCCCGAGACAGGATCCTGGGACCACTGGTGGGTCTGGGTGTGGCCTGGTTGGTGTGCCGACTCAGCCACCATGAGAAAGCACCAGGGGCCTGGCCTGGGCAGGGCTGAGGGCCACCAGTCAGCTGAGTGGACCGTCCCCTCAGAGCTCACCCAGGCCCACGTCCTTGCTGTACAGGGAGGTCCCGTGGGAGCCACCAAGTCCCTCCCTGGATCTGGGGCCATCAGAGGCGCCCTGCAGCAGCTGCACTAATGACGGTGCTGGCAGGCCAGGGCTGGGCACCGGGCAGGCCCCAGCAGGACAGGCACAAGGACTCTGCCCCCAGGGGCCGGTGAGCAGCAAGTCACCCCACCGATG